TTGAGACCACGTACCTCTCAACATCAGAGTTTATGTTCGGCCAGAAGAAACTGCGGCGCAAGCGCGCCAGCGTTTCTGCTATGCCCAGATGTCCGGCTGTAGGATGATCGTGGTAATACTTGAGCAGATAACCACGGGGTGGAGTAGGAGCGAAACGTTTTATCTGCTTGAGTGGGTGGAGATCACACTCTTGTTTTGGGTCAGCGAAGTACAGCAGGCCATCTTGTACAACATACTTTTCTAACTCGTGGTTATTCTCCTCACTTTGATCCGATTCCAGTTGGCGAAGCAAGGTGCCAGTGACCGGGTCCTCAAGCTGTAACTGACGAACATGTGGGCGATTTGGCACGATCACAGAAGGCAGAGCACGAAGATCCATGCTTCTGACCACTGCATAGGGAGGGAGAAGGTCAATAGGAGCATCCACATCTGGGAGGGGATTACGTGAAAGAGCATCAGGTGCTTTGTTACGTTCTCCAGGTTTCTGGATAATGCTGAAGTCAAACTCTTGAGGGCGAAGAGACCACCTGGCAAGCCTGCCAGATGGGTTGGGTGGCGACATCAACCACTTGAGGCTGCTGTAGTCAGTGTAGACAGTCACATGCAAACCTCGACATAAGATCAGAAATGCTCCAGGGCCCAGATGACCGCTAGGCACTCTCTCTGGAGTAAAGTAGGGGTTTTTCGGCTTTGTGTAGAGCACGGCTCGCAAAAGCCACAGCGACTTCTCCACCATCCTCACTCTTCTGCATTAGTGCCGCTCCAAGGCCAGCATCACAGGCATCAGTGTGAATGAAAAATGGACGTGTAAAATCCGGGAACCTAAGGACTGGTGCTGAGGTTACGGAACATTTCAGAAAGTCCATAGCTGCCTAGCACTTTTCATTCCAGACAAACTGCACATCCTTTTTTGTGAGGGTGAAAAGGGGCTCCGTATGACGGGCGTAGTCCTGCATGAAGCGGCGGTAGCAACACGTCAAGCAAAGGAACTGTCGCACCTGCTTTGTTGTGGTTGGAACCTTGAACTCAGTCACGGCCCTCACCTTGCCAGGGTCGGGGTGAATGCCGGGTGGCGTAACACGATAGCCGAGGGAGGCGAGTTCTGAAAGGCAGAATTGGCATTTGGTAATTTTTAAAGAGAGGCCAGCAGACTTTAGCCAACTGAGGACCTCCTCCAGGTCAAGCAGGTGTGGTTCGAATGTAGGTGAAGCAACAATGATATCATCCAGATAAACTGCGCACGACTTGTAAATTAGGCCAGCTAGAAAATTGTTCATAAGCCACTGAAAAGTTGGGGGCATTGCACAGGCCAAAAGGAAGGAAGGACTTTGAACTGAAACAAGCCGCAATGCGTGATAAAAGTTGTTTTTGGCTTAGCTCCCTCAACAATGGGGACTTGCCAGTAGCCTCTCGCGAGGTCTAGCGTTGTGAGAAACTTTCCTCTTGACAAAAAGTTCAATGACTCATCCAACTTTGGGATAGGATATGAATCCTTCACAGTCAACTGATTTAAACCATGGAAGTCAACACGGAAAGGTGGTTCATGAGGGGGTTTGTTCACTATGCCTACAGGAGCTGCCCATGGTCCTGATGCAGGCTCAATGATGTTTTCCTGTAGCATGTATTCCATTTGTTCTTTAGTAATTGGCTTTTTAGCAGATGATGTTCTGTATGGAGGCAGGTTGACGGGCTTTGCACACTTGCCAATGAATCCAGTGGTTAACCAGGTTATACCTAATGGAGCGAAGTTTGTGCCATCAGCTAGTTTTATAGGTGGAGAATGCCACTGATTCTTTAATGACACGTTTTGGGTTTTTTCAGGTATCAGGACTGCGTTCACCGCTGTAAGAGATGCTCCTTTAAAGTTCACTTTAACTCTGAACGGTGTGTTCCATGATGATTGAGAAGCTTCATCTTCAACATGATTTAGCACAGGTGTCACACTCTGGTCTGACGCAGTTAAGGAGGGTGGAGTTATGGACTGGGGGGAGGGTTGCCCCTGTGTGTGTGGCAACGGCTCCTCAGGTTGCTGGAAACGATTCAGGATGCCTCTCATAATGGGCTCCTGGTTGTCGGCAGGTAGGACCACCGGTCTGAAAAGTTCACAGAATTCAGTCCAAGTAGCTACATGAGAGCTGAGAATGGTTCTTCAGCTAGGAAGTGTGGTAGTTCTCTGAGGATCTGTGCATCTGTTAGGTCCAGGGACGTTTTATATGCATGAACAGACTGCAGCCACTCTTCTGGATGGAGATGACCTTCATTAGTGAATAAAGCGGGTTCTACTTTAGCCCTGGTGTAATAAGGACTCTGGTAGTGTTAATTAACTCCTGTGAGTCAGACTGAGATTGAGATAGAGCCCTTGTGGACTGGGCGGGGACTGGCACGGACTTGGGTAGCTTTGTATCCCTTGTCGCCAGGCTTGGCACATATGGAGTGGAGAGGGCCTGAGGATAATGGTGAGTGACCTGGGCAACTGGAACATTTTGGGCTGGCCTTGTTTGTTGAGTCCATCGGTCCAAAATATTTCTCTGAAGGTTCAAAAGAGTCATGCAGGCTTTGCTGAAGCGTATCAACCTCCTCTTGTAAACTCTGTGTTCAAGGTCAACAGCTTTGGGTCTGACAGTATTCTGCTCTGGAAGTACCCTAAAGTCAATGTCACCACATATCAGTCCAGTCTGGATGAGTAGCCGTCGTGTAACCCAGATTAATCCAATGAAAAAGTTAGGCAAAAATCAGTATCAATTCTGATCGCACACAAGTTATAGAAAGCACGCGAGTTTTAAATATTTGCAGTTTTTTTTTACTCACAGCGTCAGAGTCTTACTGACCACCTTTGAACCGCCCTGATTCAGCACCTTGCTGTGTCCCGCGTAGAGAACAGGTGCTGCAGCTGAAGCAAAACTCTTCACAGCACACTCAGCTGACGGGACGGGAGGTGAAGTCCGACGTGCTCTGACACGAACGTGCACGGTCGGAAGCTACGACAAAGCCGCATCCATCCCACGTGCAGGCAACGCAGGTCCTCGTTTATTTCATGGTGAAGAAACCCAGCAGAAAACAGTCGTAAATCCAGGATGTAGCGCCGCAGCGGCTCCACTTGTTGTCATGGGAACGCATCAAAAAACTGTCGTCTGCGGTCTGCTCCCAACAAGTATAGTGGACCATTACACAGCGACGTACCTTAAGCATGAATCAGACAGTACTTGTTTGAAAAGACGACGCTCTGAAGTCATGAAGAAAGATGTTCGGGCGCCATTTTGTAACGTCTTGGTTGCATCCGATGGCGGAGTGGGAGTGGCAGAAACACTTTACGGGCAGGGAATGACTCACAACCGCTCAGGATCTGGGGAAATCCACCAATTCTGTCCTTTAATAGACACACACACTCTTAACTAGCATATAATGCCCGGTTGAACGGCTGCCATCTCATCACTCCTGCAACAAGCCGGGTTTATACAACCGTCACGTTACTCGAGTAAGGGAGAGAAAGTTCAGTCCAAGTGTCCAACTGCTGCACGCTTCTCCCAAGTTTTGCATGGGCGGGGGGGGGGGGGGGGGGGGGGGGGGGGGGGGTATTGGCGCATACTGGTGACATCATAACAACACAGCTTTGGCTGTCTTACCCCGGCTTTCCACAGGAGCCGTCAGCAGCACGTCATAGCTGCTGATAGGAACCGCTGTGGTCAACAGAACCTTTTCCACCGGAGCCGTCAGCAGCGCGAGTCGGCCGCGTCTCAGGAGCAGCATGTCGCGGCCTTTACGCGCCGGTTCTATTTTCTACGCGCGACGCCTCTGAAACAGGTCAAGTTCGACATTTTTGGGGAAGGAAAGACAGGAAATCGAACGCGGAAATGGAGAGAAGCTCCCGAGATTTTCAGAATAAAGAACGTACTGCCTTCCGGTTGCTTTACTTTAAAAAAGGTTACTAACTGTGCGTCCCTGTGAGAAGTTATCACCTAGCTAGCGGTCTCCTTTGTTTTTCAGGTCCGTATTGGCGATTACAAAATGGACAGAACATAAAACACAAACCTTTTGGAGCCATGTTGTAGTTTTCTCCTGCTTGTTGTTGTGTTTACTGACGAAGTCACTCGTGTGACTTCGTGCTCTGTCGGTGACAGCTGCTCCCCTGCTGCTTCGCGTCTCGTGGGAAGGGCCAAGCAGCAGCTTACGCGAGCAAGACGTGCTGCTGACGGCTCCGGTGGAAACCCGGGGTTAAAGAGACCACATACAATAGTTTTCCTTTCCTTTCCTTTAGAAAATACATGTTTTCAGAAAAGGCACTTGAGCCTTCTCCCACAGCAATGGATTGTGGGTAATACCCTTCAAAGTCCGCATCTAAGCAGATTTGGGAGAAGTGCGGAACAGGGGAACACCCTACACACTTGTACCCCTAGTCAACTGGCACCAACTGAAGGGTGCGAGTGTGGAAGTGCAGCATTGGGATTGGGCCTGAAGTGGTCAGGCTCTCACTGCGTCACATGAAAAATGGTCTGGGTGGAACCAGTCTTTAAGCTGCTCTTTTGTGAGTTCTCAAACAAACTGACTCAATGTTTGCATTTATCGCAAACCCTGTTTCTGATCCTTTGAACCCATTTGAGTCATGAGGAATTCCTGATTTTGGAAAACTTTTTTTTGTTTGTTTTTTCAAACAAGATGTTTAATAATGATTAAAACTGCGTTTCTTCAGCACTTCACCACCTGAGGCCGCGCGCACACGCACTCACAGCTGCGCTTGGCGGACCTCGCCGACGCGTCAAGCAACCAAGTGGACACAAACGGACACGGAAGAGTCTGGAGACAGAACCCGGTTCCTGGATTACGTCCTCATATCATCAAATTAAAAAACCGGCAGCGAACAGACAGGCAACAGCTTTATGTCACCAACAAGTAAACAAATAAACAAACAACCTGTTTTTTAAACCAACAGTCAATTTTAAACAGATGAAAGAGGGAGTGGGCAGCGGAAGTGATATAATTAACATTAATGACGACCGACTTACCTGCTGGTTGCTGATGAGGTCATTCAGGAAACAGGAAAAGTTGGAACTCAAAAACAAAGTTCAAACGGACATGAACGGATTCAGGTGGGGTTCAGTAATCCTCTCGTCTCGGCAGCAGGACGGAACGGTCTGCTGCAGAAAACCTGCAGGAAACACGAAACTACCTGCTGCAGGTAGTTCACAGGCCACGCCCCCGCTCAGTCCTGGCTGCACGCACGCACACCTGCTGCTGCTGCTCACCTGCGTCCTCTGCGTCACATGCGTCACGCTCCAGCGCCTTCCAACCCGGAATAAAGTGGCTTCTACATCCTGAACCAACCTAATTTATAACAAATAGACATAAGCTTTCAGCATTTTAAAGTTGACTATAGTCACTGAGTTGGAGAGAATAGTCTGAAACGGAACGCAGCCGCTGGCTTGTTTTACACTGGAAATCATAAAAAGATAAAGGTCCTGCTGGGAATTAGGAACTGGATGGATGGATGGATGGAATTAGGACATATTTAGGCTCTCGTCCCCTTTTGAAGAGTAAATTCAGTTTTTCTCAATTATTTTTATTTATTTAACATTTATTTAAGCAGAAAAGCCAAATGAAATAAAAAATCAAATATCTGACAACAACACAAGCAGCAGCCCACTCAGCACAACAGTTAATAGTTATCAGCAAACTAAATAAGGAATCAGGTGACTTAATAGTTCAGACTTAGAGACGAGTTTAATCAGAACATATCCATCCAGATGTTTATATTCTACTTTATCCTTGCATCAGAGCGGATTCCCAGAATAAGGAGCTGCATATCGGAATGTTTTCGTCCCAAATTCGCCATGGGCCTGGTACTTTCAGAGGAAGCAGGTCATGTGACACAAGCAGCGGCCTCCATGGCTTTTGGAGGTGAATTCAGCTGGAGCACAAAAATTCAGATGTGGAAGTTTAAAGGGTCGTGTTTTTGTCATCTACAATTTTCTCTTATTCAGAAAAAAATCTTATTATATATTCACCCTTTCAAAAAAAATGCAATAAAACCCACAGAAAAGAAGAATTAAAACTCAGCATGACCCATGTGACCTTTACTCGCTTTCATCCTGTTTCTGAGGAATTTTCCTAATTAGATTAAACTATCATTTAAACTAATTAAATGATAGTTTAAGAGTCACCTCTGATTAAACGTGTTTCCTTTTCAGTTAGAAATCACCCGTCTCTGCTTAGAAAGCTGATTAATGACGTGTTTGTCTGTCAACTGCTCAGTTTCTAAACCATCGTTCACCTCCTCCTTCCAGACGCTCCTGGTCGCTGACTGCTCCTAACAACAAAACAGACTTTAGGGTCGAAACACAAAACTCAAGCAGACAGAACACATTTGTCCTGTTTATTGTCTGACATCATTTTTAAAGCTGCTAAATTATCTCACTTACTGCATGGTGGCGCCGTTGTTAGCTCTGTTGCCTCGCAGCAAGATGGTTGCAGGTTTGAAGCTCGGCTGCAGCCTTTCTGCGTGGAGTTGCGTGATCCCCCCACGCTGGTTAACAATTGTACGTCGCTTTGGATAAAAAGCGTCTGCCCAATAAATAAACGCATTTTACATCAGAGGAGTCTGAACTTTTTGGGATGAGAGCAAAATTCATCACAGGCTTCAAAAAGGTTTTTTATTTCCAATCAAAACTCACAAAAAAATCCTTCAGTGAAATATTTTACATGTCAAACAAAACAAAAAGAACAAAGTCGTAGCGTTAAAAGAACAACAATCGTTGTGAGTCTGAGACACAAAAAAGGCTTTTTTTTCAGGATAAAATAATAAAGTTCAGCTACTTTGTAAAAATCTGAAAATAAAAATGTTTTAAAACGTCTGAATGCATCAACAACCTGGTGGACACGACTCCACCGCCACCTGAAGGGCCACAACACATCACTCTGAAGACCACAAGGAGCCCACGGGCCACACGTTGGCCACACAGCTGATGGTCAGTCTAAATATGTCATCATCAGTCATCAGCTAGGGAGAAATCTTCACTCTTCTTCATCCTGAGCAGCAATGAGCTTAAAAGGTGGGAACCCAGCAGAACCAGTGCCACAATTTAGATGAGGATCGGGATGGAATGATTGGGTCGAAGAGGTCATGAAAGAGCCTCAGACCCAGTGTGTCATCCAGTAGTCTACTGCAGCATAACTAAAGGGGTGAGCCAGGATAACTCAGTATTTATTTATTTATTTATTTATTTATTTAGGACAGTGCATGTTAATGAACATAAATGTAGAAGCAGCTTACATGAATGTAAACATGCCAGATTATAGCCAAAGGCTAATCTCCATCTGTTGTCCTGAGACATAAAAAGACATAATAATTCATAAGAATTCATCATTCATTCATAATAAAAACTCCATCACCAAACTTACACATGCACACCATTCTATTCACAAGTAAAACATTAAAACTATACAACTCACACATGATCACACACTTGATTTGTCCATAACCAGTTTTTAACCTTTGCCTTAAACAAA